GACGCACATAGAATTGTGTAACAGATAGCACCCAATCTTGTGAGGCGCATGCGCATTTCCATCGTGATTGGAGAGTCGTGTTGTTGTACGTTTCCTTCGTGATTTCCTGATAATAAACCTTTCAGTTGTTAGTCAGCGCTCGTCCTGTCCAGTTCCTTCCTCTATCCCTGTAAAATTCGCGCTGTTCCATTATGAATACATACCAATTCGCCCAACTATCCTGTTTGACAATCACATAACTCAGATAATTTTTTTTTTCGACGCACAGTGTCTCGGGAAGGCTGATCGCTTTTAATATAATTACAATGAAACTGATAATGATAAAATGACATCCCCTTTGAATGGTCACACAAAAATTTCTTTGTACAAAGATAAGCAAACAGCTTAAAAAGTGCTATTTGTATTTTTTTTTCATTCACGCTTGGTGTTTTGTTATACAATGAATACTTGGATTGTGAGTCGGATGTGGTTCCACATTTTGTGGATGTGGTTCGGATACGGGTACAAAGTATGCGGATGCGGGTTGGATACAATAATGTAAAAAGTTTGAGGATGCGGTTCGGATGCGGATCCAAAGTCTGCAGATGCAGATCGGATGCGCATAATCAAACTGTTATCCGAGCAGGGCTCTAGACATGGCATACACATTTGTGTATACGACTTTGCAAATTTATTTACTCTTTAGATGTGGGCCTGTACCGCTGGAGACAGGTTGTACACGATCGTGTACAGCTTATGGAGCGGGTTGGTGGCGCCATCTGCCGTGGCTGCCTTTAACTACAATTAATAACACCGTTGCAAGATGGATGCCTCCTTGTTCTACAGCGACGCGGGTGGCGAGTGGCTCCGAAAAACAAATCTTTGCTTAATTGGATGTTTTCTGACGAGACTTGCTGCATGCCTAAGCATTCCAAAGATGCTAATGAATGTAACACAGTAGCTTGAAATGTTAGGATGCAGCAATTGCTTCTCTAACGGATTAGTGAATTTCGCAAACACATGTGTCAAAAATTGGACGTTTAGTGATTTATACAGTGTAAGGTCGGTCTGCCAGGATCAGGCGACACTGGTTTACACTGTAGATGAGCAATTTCGCCAGTGCAGTACGACTGCTAACCTGGGGTCTTTAACGTGCGCCACGCAGTAGTGATACACGACCGCACGCCGGTACGATGCTCATCCAGATCGAAACGGGCAGGGGTGGGGCTCGAACCCAGGATCCCTGGGTTCTGCAGCGCGATCTTTCGCTCCACGCGCGTCGAGCTGGGTATGCGCTTTAGCCCACTCGGCCACCGATCCCCCCACGTACAGCGTGCCGCTATGGCCACATTGTGCAAAAATGTTCTTCGAAGAAAACATTAGTGCTATAGTGCCGTTAGCATTCTTGCAAGGAGCTTTTCATTGGAAATTCATATATTCTAGTGACAATGTGTTGCTTCTTCCCAATTCAGACATCCGAAATCATGCGAGAAATCGCACGAGGGTCGGCAGTGCCACAGCACAGAGGTTGCTAATGCAAATTTCCGATGGAAATGCATCCGATGTCGGCCTCTCTGTTAAGGAGGACAGAGAGCCTCATCGATCTGCGAGTACAGGCGCTTTAAATATTTGGATGACATCGTTAACTGCTTAGCTAAGTTAAAGAGAATGCCTTTTGTCACTTAGGTCAACCCCCTGGAACACGAGGCAGGCCTTCAGGGCTGCAACAGCCGGCTCCTGCTCCAGAGGAAAATGATGAAGCGGAGGAAGCGCGTAATCAAAAGGTGCAGACTGTTTGGACAAGCAGCGATTTCGAGCCCCCTGACACAACATTGGATGACAACCACATGACTTTAGAGGAGGTGGCTGAGCCATGGGAATACTTTCGAAGGTATTTTCTTAACTCACCATTCGTATAGTTTGCGGGGTGCATGAACATTTACGGACTGCACACCTCGGGAAACAAATCTCGGAAACACTCCGGAGGATGTTAAAGCCTTCTTCGGGATGATGATGATCATGGGGACGCCCAAGTTTCCCCGCATACGTATGTACTGGCAGCCGGCAACGCAGATCCCCAGCGTATCGGAGGCGATGGGGGTCAACAGATTTTTCAAGCTCCGGTCAGCTTTGCACGGCACGGAGACATCTTCGCCCCGGGCTCTAACTGATAAGTTTTGGAAGGTGCACCCCGTGCTGGATGCTGTCAGACAGAGGTATCTGGAACTTACTACATTCGAGAACAACAGCATTGATGAGCAGATGATCCCTTTCATAAGTAGAGTTGCGGCCAAGCGATTTCTGCAAAAACAAACCTAACCCTGGAGGTGTCAGTGTTTGTCCGCTGCAGCTCACATACTATGGCAAAGTGACTTCAAGCTGTATCAGGGAAAAGAAATGGGGAAATCGCTCGAGCACAAGCACCTCAAAATTGGTGGCTCCATTGTGATGAGGCTCATGAAACACTTGCCAAAGTTCAGGAACTTTAAGTGTTTCTTTGACAACTACTATACATTACTTCCACTACTCCGAGAACTCAATGCCGTCAGTATCTGGGCCGTCAGTGCTATCCGCGCATACAGGCTGCAGGGATGTGTACTGAAAAGTGAAAACGAAATAAGGCGAGAAGGACGATAGAGCCTCGATGCAAAAGGCGAGAGAAAGGGCGATGTAACCATCGTCAGATGGCAAGGCAAAAATTGTGAACGTTGCTACAGCATTTGTGGTCCACAACACACACCTCGTTGAGAGCCACTGCTATAGAGTAAGATTATACAACACGACTGACACGACTGTCTATCTCGAGAGCTTTGACTACATTTGTCTTCGGCTATGAGCGTGGCGGCAATATGGCAGGAAATGTGGGTAATCCTCTGCCACTGCTGTCAACACCAATATTCTCTCTCCTACAAACTCCCGTTCCGTCGTCCCAGGGTAGGAGACATTGTGCGGCAGCCTCAGCAGCTTCCCCACTAAGGGAAGTTGCACAGAATGTGCACTATGCTGCAAACGTTTGAACCAACAAATGGGCATGCGAAGTGGTTTGTGTTAAGCAAGCTTTTTCTGCATAGAATCTACAGGAAACCAACCAAACATTCCAACTTTGTTCCACGTATCCATGAATTCAGTTTAAGTGTGTTCAGTTTCATGGGAGTTTGTTGTAATTGATTTTCACTAGCCAGAAGTATTGTACTTTCCTAACGTTCAACCATGGGATATATTTGCAGCAACCATAACTGCGAAAATAAACAAGAATGACAAAGCACTGCAGGCCATCATCGGAAGATGATTACCGGGATGGGAGGTCGGGCGACCGTCAAGGAAAGAGGGAGGGAGGGCTCTCCCCTCCCCTCTTTCCTTCTTGACATTCCAAACAGAAAGGTGGCACCATCTCTCGTCCGGAGCACCAAACACGACCGAAAGTTATCTGCTAACCTTTTCGTCATTGCCCTCGGTGAAGATGTTCTAAATTTTTACAGGAACGAGTCAACTACACCGAGAGATTTCACAAGAATGCGTCTCCCTATACAATACACGTTCGATGAAAATGTGGGTATATGCAGGTGTCGATTTTTGCAGCGCATTTTGCATCAACGCCATGGCTCAATGCCACCCAATGACTCGAATTGTTTCGCTATTACTCTGCTTCACTTTATACAAGCAACTTCAAACTTTTCAGGTTATTTTTGTTGTGCATCTACCTCCCGCTTACCAGGTTTCCTTTAAAACACTAAAGCCAGCGTCAGTTATCAAAATATAAATTTATGACTTTTTTTTACTTTGGTTTCTGGGCTAGTCCCCATAACACAGGCTTTCTTCAGAAACAAAAGAATAATTGCGCAGTACAATAACATAAAAAAATTAAATGCAAATGAAAGTTTCACGAAAGTATTCATTGGTTCTGAATTCGTAATTTGCATGCTAGATGTGCATGATACAAAGCATAATGGATCCGTTTTTGTCCCTTGTACTTTTTGTATACACAGGTCTGACTAAATATCACAGTATGGGAACAGACCAATCACGAATCAAGGCGTTGTATGCCAGTCATGAGTCTGTTCTCCGTTGACAACATGGCAGCTCCTCCAGTGGCTCCTTGCTCAGAAGCACTCATCATCGAAATTGAGCGGTGTCCATGGCTATGGAACGCAAGCCGTATGGACTACAGGGACACTGGGAAGCGCAAAAATTCCTGGAAGGCAATTGGAATCGCTTTCTGTGAGTATGACCTCTTAACAGAACTATATAATTTGCGCCTCAACCCAGGGCACCTCTGGACGGCCTGCCTTCATCGCACGCTTGTTGCCTTCTGTCTAACTTTCACTATGCATGAACGTTCCCGTTCACGGTCAGCTGCACGCGCCTGGGCGTACACTCGAAGCTCGCAAGACGCCAAAGTGTTATCAAAGATTTGTTTTGGGTCACGCCGGAGGCGATAGTGCCAATAGACTTCCCTGCCATTCGCAAAGAAACGTTTGCGAAGTTCTGCATGCCAAATCAAGGAAGGCCGTCGCATACCTCAGCGATTAATTTACATCACCTGGGATTCTTTGAACGTGAAACTGAAATCTCGGTTACCTGGCACCTTCTCTCCAGCTAGGATTCCAACCCACCAACTGGGGATTCGATTCTTTGGGCCGGCGGTTTGCCTCGGAGCCACAGATGCGGCCTCCCTGCAGCTGTCTGTGACCATTCACGTCCGAGTGGGCAGCGCACACCCACCCACAACCCACTGCTCGCACCTCTCGTTTGCGTACCTCGCATAACCATTTCCCAAAGTCATGGCACGAAATGGGAAGCCATTATTAATCGAGCGATCAGTAATGAAGAGATCAAACAGGCAGAACATAAAAAGACTACATTTCAAGATGCTGAAGGAGGTTTGTAAAGTTTGGGTTGAATACTGGCAAGCAAACCTGGTGCATGTCTGTTGCACCTATTGGCTGTCCTAATTGAAGTTGTGTTATAAATCTAGTTCCATCATGATTTCTGTTCTAAAACTTGTATTCATAAGTGATACTTTAGTTATTTATGCCACATTTACTTCATTCACTTCAGGCAGCGACTCTAACGCCTGCTGTCAGGCTTGGCTGGCCATGAGGGCCAAGTATGCGAGAGAATCGAAGAAACAAAGAGGCCGGAGCGGTGCTGGCCGCGATGGTCTTGCCGTGCCAACATGGCACCTCTTCAAGTAACTGGCCTTCCTTAAGGGCCAGATTCAGCACCGACGGTAATATGCTACATCACTTACTGCTAAGAACAAGCACAGTTGATATCGGGTCTGAGTTTAAAACATTTTTACTCTCTTCCATCAGCACCAAAGTGCTCCCTGTTGCGGGGGGAGTGGCGTCCACTTCTGCAGCGGCAGCAGACGTTGAAAAATGAGGCTTGAGCCCAGAGGCAAGTTTGCTTACACGGTAAGAAAATCTAGAACCGATTTGGGATCACCTGCTTTCTCCTACAGAGTCTTGTGGTAAAGTAAAATGAAGGTCAAGGACATTGTGAAAGAATGCCTGACTGTTGTTACGAAAGGAAGCATCTTGATTCCTCCCACACACTAAGCTAGATGCCATGTTGACAGATGTTGGCCCCACGTTATTCTATGTGCGGAGGAAGTGTTCTCGAGGTCACTTGATTTCTTTCGCGTCAAGATTTACCTCATTTGCTCCAGCCATCGGCGACAAAAAAGAATAGCGTCTGAAACTCACTTTTTATTTCATTTTCGTAGCTACCGGTCTTTATTCGGAGTGCAGACAAGCTGGCTAAGTTGACGTCAACCAGTTGGTGGCCAAAATTACCTTCAGGGCTCCTATTTTGGTCATGGGTGAGAGCGAGATCAATCTCGGCTGTTGACTATTATCGTTCATTATCAACTAACGAAACAAAATTAAATCCGTTTTGCAGTCTACGGTCAGGCAATATTTCAGTGACAACTTCTTGCCAACACACAAATGAGAAGAGAGGTGGCTTCTGACGTGCCTGTCCCATATCGCCCATCTACTGGTCAATATTGGGATTTGTATGGCTGCAAAACAATTTGAGATTTGCTAAGGAACCACAAGTTTGGCAATTGCTTCCAATGTCGAATTGCAAACGGTAGTTTCAGCCAGGAACGGATTCAGAGGGGAGGTCCGGATGTCCTGACCCCCCTCTTGATTTCTGCATGTGTAAAAATTTAGGGCGTGTGCATGTGTAAAACTTTTCCTTACCGCCTTATCTTTATGTTTTCTAATAACAGTGCACAAATTAAATTCAGGTTTGCACCCACAGTCAAGGCAGTGCATTGACAAATGATCGTCAAGCTGTCCGCTCACTTTTTGGTTGTGTTCGCGCAATCTGTCTTTTAGACATCTTCCCGTCTGTCCCACATACTTTTTACCGCACGTCAGCGAGATCTGATGGACGACTCTCGCTGCGCATTCTACAAACAAGCTGCGATGCTTCTTCACGCAGCCAACCGGTGGTTTGCGGTGAGGGTCCGTCATTTTGCACAACTTGGCAAGTTTTTCCGGTGCAGAAAGAACCACCCGAGCATTTACGTGGTTTGCTATCTTTTTGATATTGCGTGCGGTTTTGTGCATGTAAGGCACAACCGCCAGACTTTGTTTCTTTTGAGCCACATCTTGGTCTGGACTCGCTACTACTCGTAGCTTCTTACAACTTTTTCTGCAGCCGACACCAGGAGCGTCCCTGGAAAACCGGCAGCCACCAAGCGTTCTGACTGCTCCTTCAGACTTTAAGGCATTGCATGATGACACAACCTTCTGATGGAGTTCACAAAGCACAAATTTACAATTCCTCTCTTAACAAGTTTCAAATGAGATGAATTGAACGGCAACAGGGGCTTATCTGCTCTTGGTTGGTATTTCCAACACACGTGTTGTTCCAAAAGTGTGAGCCTGATATCTAGAAACTGTATGACGTTGTCCACAAGTACCTCGTGCGTAAGCTTGAGAGGATCAAGGATGGTACTAAAAACTGTTAAAAGGCTGTTCACCACCAAGGAAAAGTGAGAAACATCATGGTGAAGAAAAACTAAATAATTGTCGACGAATCTAAAAACCTTGCTACCATTAAAGTCATTCAGGCATTCCGAGAGAACTCTGTCATGATGGGCTAAAAATATATCACGTAAAACTGGAGCTAAACACTAGCAAATACACACCCCTCGCTTCTGAATATACACTCCCCTGTTCCACTCAACAAAGGTCGAGTTTAGATCAAATGTAAGCAATTCGAGAAAGTCATCTACAGTCATTCCTGCTGCGTTCTGAAAGGCCACCACCCCGTGTTTATCGATGCTTTCCTCTACGCAGGTCAGTAGTTTGTCGTGCGGAAGGGAATAGTATAAATTCTTTATGTCTAGTGAGCAGGCTAGAAAACGTGACGGTCATTTGTCGATGCACTTCCATGACTGTGGGTGCAAACCTGAATTTAATTTGTGCACTGTTATTAGAAAACAGAGATAATACAGTAAGCAAAATTATAGAGGCAGACCTGATAAAAAAACTACGGAGATCGATGTGTCAGCGTGGCGTCGATCGATTTGGGCGACAAAGAGACACAGTTCTTGAGATCAGTGGCGTGGCATGGGATTGGTTGAAGGGCGCGATGATGCAGAGTATTTATACCCTTGATTTTCTAACGAACCAGTTGAAGTTGGTGCATTGTGTTGTCTCATTCCTACTCTTCGTCCCAGTCGTGAAGCGCTATTATGTTCTCCAAGTTTCAGTACCAACTCGCCCAAGAATCCGCATTACTCAACTCCTTTTCTTTTCAATAAAATCTTCAGTTGAGAGTAATCGCTTGTCCTGTGTACACCCTTCTACTCCATCTTCGTTTCTTGTGCGCTGTGTCCCAATCCGCTAAATATAATCCAATTTATATGAAATAAACCTTATTTAAATAAAATAAACCTAAATTACATCAAGTAAAATTTTTTTAACAAAAAAGCTACCTTTTTTTTTTGCAGTCAAGTAAGCACGGAAATAATGACATCTCTCCATGCACCACAAATTACAAATGAGACCTAGTTAATAAACAGTCCTGTAATTCTTTACTACAGACTATCCAGAAAAGCGGTTGCATTGTGTGACCCTCGTGCGTGAATAGAAATGTGTTTTACACATATCTATTTGTTTCGGCCACAATTACGTTAATGGCTCAGGTATTTTTTATATTCTTTTGCAAAAAATAGTGCTTTGAAGCAAGCATAATTTTTATACATTTTGACTCAAGACTGGGAAGGGATGGAAAAACACAAGGTCTTGTGTTTGTCCATCCATTCTCTTCCCAGTCTCGAGATTTTTACCGTAGAATACCATGCATCGGCCCATTTCACATTAAGCGCCCATTACCGAATTTGCAAGATCTGAGAAAATATGCGCACATTTATATGTAAAATTGATGACTGGACAAGCACTCATCCACCATTTTTTTGCGATTATCTCCAAAATTTGATTGGGCGCTTGCCCGGTATTTTACGGTAGTCAAAATGTTAAACCAACACCAGCTCGTTTGCACCCTTACCTTTTGTTCAATAACTTTTATTGTGTATTAATTATAAACATGGAAGTTCCGTTATGAACCCTGTTTTGACAGATTTTTAGAAAACTAATTCATACGCTCCTAAACCATAGTATGCATTTTGGAGGGATGTGGCCATGAAGTAATTGAACGTGTCTTTATATTATTAAAGTCGTAACCAATGACGCTATTTAGTCGCTGCTGAAGGTTTTTTGGATAGTTGTATTACACTCAACACAAACAGGCTCATTTTGTTCGTAGGCCACTAATTTGCTGTTGGAAATTATAGTATTAAAAAACTTCAATATGCCAATCTGCACCGATGACTTTTTGCAGCATCCTATGCGATATTCAGTTACAATATTTTGGAGTACTTACAGTTTTATGTCGTCACCCATATCCTTTTCCAGTTTCATACTAGTTGCGACTTCACAAAAGTGAAGTCAAAGAAAAATTGCACTTTTGAATGTTGTTTAAATTTTACTAGCGCATGAGTGGAAGGCAGTAAAAGAGTTACAATGATATACGTAAAACTCTCCCATTACCTCGCAACTTTTCGCTTTCCCCCGTTAGTCGGGCCACTAACAACCGAGTACACTTTTTTGACACTCACCTGCCGGGTTCTGACTCATGAGCCCTACTTCGTTTGGACGGGGCCGTACTTGAATCACATCTCTGAATTCGTGTCAAATAAAACTATTATTACTATGTCCGTGCCTGCCGACAATATCGAGGAACTCGCCAATTCTGCAGTGTTGCCAAAACCTTGCCTCAAAGCTTTAAGAGGCAGCCAAAGGAACGACCTCCTGCACGTCTCGGAAGGAGCCCCCATGTCCAGTGAAAAGAGATGGGTCACGTCGATTTATTTTATCAGAACATCCGTGGCTAACGTACAAAAATTGAACGCTTTTGTACGGACGTGGAGTCCGGCGCCGCAATTGGCGGCAACATCCCGCAGAGCCCTCGAGCTCCGAATCACTACAGCTGCCGACTCCAGTCCCTGGCACATGGACGACGGCGACACAGCGACACAGGACCAACTTTGGAGCCGCTGGTGCATTGGCGGCAAAGTGATAGCCTCCTCCTTGGCTACACCACTGGATGCAAGGGAGGTGGCACGTGCACCTACCATAATGACGAGATGTTTCAGTGACATACTCTTAAGTTGCGATCACACTGCTAATCCCGATTGGTCAAGAGACGGTCTTCAGGGACACTGTCTGAGGCTTTTCCTTCCATGATGGTCATATTGGTCACTCAAGAACTGACTGCAGACATGTTCGAAGCCCACACATTTATCGAACGAACATCCTTCGAAGATGCTCGAGACGTTTCCGCAGGTACTTCCGTAGTGAACATTGCGCTTTTGTAGGATGCACGAGCAGGTCGACTTTGCGATTCCAACCCGTAAAGTCAATGCTGTTTATTCCTTCGTAACGTTTGATTGTAATTATTGTCATTTGTTCGTACCATCCTGATGAGGTTCCCGGTTTCAGGCTTGGAGGTGATCGAATGTCACAGAATGTGGAAGGCCATCCGCAACCGCTATGTTAAGAGACGAGAGCGGCGAAAGGCAAGAGTAAAGCTGGCGAGGAGGATGTCCAGCCTCCCACGTGGGTTCTTTTCAAGTTCCTGGGGTTCCCCGATGGTCAAATCTGTGCAGATGGTAGGCACAGAATGTTTTGGACAACAAAGGGCACTGCAGATTGTGCCGTATTTTGTATGCATTGTAACGATGACGTGGCAGAACCCTGGTTTGTCCCAAGACAAAAGGAGCCTCACACAACACCATGTCTACAAACTGGAGTGAAGGAGCCCCCACTTCCGTGCCAGGAGGTAGGTGTTCATATAGAGTGCAGCTTTCCAGACAGACTCTAATGCCCGAGTCACGGCAAAGCGACTAACGGAAACAACCGACACCGTCGCGCCTCAAACACGAGCACCATGCACGCGAGGGTATCTTTGGCCGGCTTGCGATGACCCGTGCTTACTTTGAGAGCACCGGACAACTAAATGACTGCCAAAGGTATCGCTTGTCGCTGTTGTTTATTTTTGTTTGTCACTCTAACGGGACTTGGGCATGATGAGCTGAAAGCTATTTCAAATTTTCTACCTACGAGAAATATTGCACAAAACTGCATAGCTTTTATTCTGTCACTTGGTGTTTTTCTCAATATGCAGAGATCCTTGCGGAAATGTATTGCCCTGGAGAGACCGCAACCCCCGCAGAAAATAGACAGCCTGGGATGCCTGCTGATGCCGAGATGGAAGACATACTGTAGCATGAAGACATACATTTTATTTAACAACTGCCTTCGATAAGCATGTTTGCAAGTGGCTCCTGTGTAATTACCCTTTTCTCACTCTCCTCTTTCATTTAAGCGATTGGCTATTCTTGGAGGCAGGTCCAAAGATTCGCCGGTTTGTCATGTCCTTTATAATTAGGATTCCATATTTTTGCGGGTTTATCGGAGCACCGGTAAACCCTGCAAAATTGACCTGCGGTCCAGTTCTGTCAGTGTCGCAGAAAACCGAAAACCCCCAAATTGGAGCAGTTTTTGAATGAAGAATCCTAAGCTTCACTCAAAGAAATAGTTATGTGCTGCTTTATTTTACGGTGTTAGAACACACTCCCCAATTAACTGTTTACGTCCCTGGTATCTTTGGAACACCCCTTATCTAGTTCCTTTTTTTTTTATTGGTACGGAAAATAAATGAACTCACAGATTTTAGTAGTATAGAACGCCAAAGCTGAAGTCTTCTGAGTGACACCATAACTAGATGTAACAGCGCTCTTTAATAAGAGTTTGTGTTCTAATTTATTAACACTTGTTTGCCACATTCTTGTGCAGGAAAACAAAAGAAACTGACAATTGAGGAAGCTCTCGATTTATATCTTAGTCTACCAGATAACGCTGATGACCGTGAAAATGAATGGGAAGAATCCGACCACAAAGCGCCGTCCGACCTTGACGCCGAAGAGAGCATCGAGGAGAAGCAAGTGACCCCAGGGACGCAAAATCAGAAAAGGCAAGCCCCGAAAAGACTTCACGGTCAGCCCCAAGAAGCGTCGCATCTCGACTGAAAAATCAGTCGCTGCAGAAGATGGTGCAGTTGCCGAAGGAGTGTGGCCTTCACAACAAAGCCTTCAGAGGGCAGCATGCCACTGGACGCATTCCAACTTTATTTTTCTGAAGACGTTATCGGTCACATTACAGTCCGGACCAACTTGTATGCAAGTCAAACGAGAAGAACAGACTAGGACCCCTATCACGCCCGAAGAACTGAGAGCATAGGTCAGAATGCTCTCCCTTACGAGTAGAGACCCCATGCACCATCTTCATCTTTATTAGAGTTCGGACAGCCTGTAAAACGTGAAGGAGATCTCGCAAGCGATTTCGTGCGAGAGATTCCAAAAAATAACAAACTGTCCGAATCTAAACGACAACACTCATGACAGCGGGGATGCGGAAGACAATGATCGCTGCTACAAAATGCGTCCACTGATTCATATGATGAAATAAAAGTTTGAAAGCGAGTGCCAACCATCATCCCATCTTGCCGTAGACGAGAGCATGATCCTTTTCAAAGGGAGATCAACACTAGAGCAGTACCGTGTTTGCACGATTCTAAAGCACACTTTCTTTCCAGAAATTTCAGGCTCAAAATGACATGCGCGCTACAATTGGGCCCAATAAAAATTTGAAGTAAAAGTAAGTCTAAAAATATCGGCTAGGCGACGCATGCTACCGCCCGTTACAAAGTGTGCAGCGCTTTCTTTCTTCCCATTTATCAGACAGATAATCACGTACTCAGTCACATAATCACGTACCACAATGTTCACTTTCGTATTGGCCAAGCGCCGTGCTGTCTCGTGTCACCGCAAGCTTGAGCCAAGCTGCTGCTGATGCGATCGTTGCAAGATGGAGAAACAGAAGCGATTTCATTACGAGGCATCATTCAAACAGAAAGTGATCATCCTTGCTGGAAAGGAAGGTAATCAAGCAGCGTCACGATCACTGGGCATCCCGGAAACGTGCGTGCAGGATTGGCGCAACTACCCGCCTCTTCGGACGTCATCAAGGCCAATTCTTTCGCACTTGCTACAGGTTACAAGATCCGCCGCTCTTGATTCCAAGCGAGTAGGAGCTGGATCACCAAGTTCATGCGGCAAAAAGGATTTTCGCTGCAACGAAAGGCGAGCATTTGTCAGAAGCTCCAGAAACCTTATGAAGCGAAGTTTGTCATGTTCCAATGTTTTATGATCAAGCTTCGACAATATAGGGGCCACATGATAGGACAGATCCGAAACGCAGACCTAACACCCATGTTTTTCGACATGCCTTCGAATTACACGGTCGAACAAGAGGAGCCAAGCAGGTAACAAAAAAACTGATTACGGCGACGTTAGGATGCATGGCAGATGGGCGCAAGATGAACCCTTTTTTGATTTCTGAAAGGAAGACTTTGCCTACCAATGTTAAGTTCCCAGAAAATGTCATTGTTCAGATGCACCCCAAAAGATGGATGGACATTGACCTTATGATCGACTGGATTGACGCCGTACGGCGAAAGAGGGCTGGAGCCGACTTGAGAGTGCTTTCTATGCTGGTTCTAGACTTGTTCAGATGCCACATCAGCCAGCGTGTCAAGGACAAACTTGCAAAATGCTCCCCCACATTGGTGATCATCCCCGGCGGGATGACGTCTCAACTGCAGCCACTGGACGTGTGCTTAAACAAACCAACGAAGGACTATGTGCGTGCAGCGTACAACGAGTGGCTCACTGCATACGAGCACACACTGACGCCAGCAGGGCGTCTGAAGAAAGCAACGCTCGACGACCTGGGCCCGTTTGCTCGAAGCCGGTTAACTCTAACCGCGGTTAAAAGTTAACCGACCTTCCCTACTAGGTACCTACAAGTACCTAGCCAAGTTTGAAGAGGGCTGGATGAGCGATAGCTCCGTGTTTTATTATGGGGCGGTGGCTGGTGTCACCTACTGGCTGTAGCGAATATAAGTGGCTTCTGTGGAAAGGTTCCCGAAATGGGGGGACCCAAAAAATGCGCGCTGCCTGGTTTTCGCGACGCAGCGTGGCATACATTTGAGCTTAAGAAACCATTTTTATTGCTCGTGGTACAAATAATTGGCAAGGTAAAACTAAATTAACCCTTGTTTGGAAATTTTCTAAATATTTGGCTGTATGAAGTGCAGAAAAGCCTCGTTGAAATTTCCTTCCGACTTCGAAAGAGGACGACGAAGTTGAGTCCTAAAAACGATGAGAAAGAAGTGAGCAGTGAAAGGCGGGCGGTACACCGGCAGCATGGTTGGCCAGCATGTAAGAACTCATAAATTGAAAAACCTGTAACTTGGCTCCACTGAAAATTGACCTATTAAATTACCCGAACATCGAGAAGAACGCTGGAAGTGTAATTCTATGATCCGCGCGCGCTGGCCTTCCACTTATAAAAGATTTGAAGTAATTAATCATAATAAATCGTTGACGAACGCCCGTGCACGGCAACATTTGTTTTAGGCTTTTTGCTTCAGAACAGTTATTACTGCAGACGCCAGCAGGTGCAGCGCGTGTAACTACACTCGTAGCATGCACCTCGGTGCTTTTGAAATTTAGCAAGAGGTCTATGGGAACGCTCCATGCTTCTGTGTGCTATCAATACCCGGCCGATTGAGTCAAGGCAATCCACTTTCCAAAAACGTTGCCATGCCGACAACTATCGCGTTCATTTAGGCTTAGAAATGGTCAGAGTCGAAAGTCTATCTAAAAAATGCGGCGAGGTCATTGCTCATGTTTTGCGTTTTAAGTGAGGTAATGCACCGCGAAAACCTCCTGCACCATTCATTGCTGACTAACGCGCCCGCTACTGCAGCTACTGCGACGTATTAGTTCCAAAGCGAGCGGAGCTCACTCACCGGGGCACCGCCATGTTTCCCCGCCGTCCTTACTCTGCCGGTCACGTGACCCAAAATTCCCCGTCGTAGGGAAATCCGGTTAACCGCGGTTAGTTAACCAGCTTCGAGCAAACGGGCCCTGGAGCAATGGGTACACGACGCCTGGAAAGCACTCCTGCGGGCGATGGTCGTACGTTCCTTTCAAAAGTGTGACCTTTTCAACGCCATTGACGGAACCGAGGGCGAGATTTTGAAACTTACGTCGGACTCCGACGGCGACTAGTGTGGCTGTTTTGTTAGTGCGTGTGGGTGGGTTTCATGTGTGTCTTTCACGGATGTGGTGTTCAGCACTCATTATTTTACCTGTGCGGTACAATCGGCATCAAATTATTCTTAAAACTATTCAGAGCTAAATTTACCTGCACGTTACAGTCGGGGGCGTGCTAGAATCGTGCAAACACGGTACATGCCAATGAAGCCAAAAATAAAGCGGGACTTCAAAGTCTGGTGCCTGGCGGACTCAAATGCTAGCTACCTTGTAGGTTTCAGTTGTACCAAGGAGAAAACTAAGATCGTCCAAAAAACAGAACTCTCTGGGAGCATATTGTGCTGTCTGTCTGAAGGAATTGTACCCCCTGGTAGTCAGCGTTTTTTTTGTTTTGTTTTTTGTTTTTTTAGTTATACAAGTTTGCTTTAGCAGCTACGTGACGGCACAGACCTACCCAATGAGGTCAAGGTTGACAAGATGAACAAAGGTGGCTACATCTGGCACAAGAAAAATGATGTCACGGCCTACCAATGGCGGGACAGTAAGAATGTTTGCCTAAATCCAACCACCACGAACCAGACGGAGGAGCAGGTGGATGTAGAGAGGATGACGGCAACTCGACAAAAACTACCCGTGAAGTATCCCATTGTTGTGGAAGACTACAATGCGTGGATAGGGGAAGTAGATCGTTTTGATCAAAAGCATAACGCTTACCCTCTAGAGCAGGGGTGGCCAGGTTGACCCGGCCTAAGAGCCGCAAACAAAACCACGAAACTTTCAAGAGCCGCATGGAAGAAGAAAGGCAACAAAGGGAGGAAGGGGGGGGGGGGGGGGGGGGGACTTTTGTCCACAGCAAAAAACGAAATTCAAACTATTTTCTATCTATCCAAGTCAAAAGCAGTCCAACTGTACGAGTAAGGTAGCAGTAGCACAAGACTACCAAATGGCTACCTGTCTCGATTTAAAACGCGTTCCATTTCTCTTTTTGGGGAAGTGCTCGTGTGACCGGGAGGGAGGCGGGGAAGTGTGTGTGTGTGTGTGTGGGGGGGGGGGGGGGGGGGCAGTGGAGGAAAGCCGCGAGCCGCGCTTTAACAGGCGAAGAGCCGCATGCGGCTCGTGAGCGGCAGCTTGGCCACCCCTGCTCTAGAGAGAAGGTCGAAGAGGTGGTGGAGCCGCACTTCTACTTCATCCGAGATGCGGCTATTGTCAACGCCATCATTCAGCACAGCTCCGG